GTCTAGGAGGTCACCAGCTTGAATTGACCAAAACCACTACCCCTTATCAAGGTGCTCTCACTTAAATCAGAGATGTTTTGGAAATCTTCAGCTCATTGGGCATAGATATTGGTCTTATTTTTATAGATCAAGAAAAAGTGTTTGACCAGGTTAAACATCAATATTTGTGGCAATATTTGACTGCTTTTGGTTTCAGCCCAGGTTTCATACCTTTGATCCAGGTTTTGTACCATGACATTGGGAGTGAACCAGGGGCAGAGCAGCCCGACGCTGACTTGTTCCGCCACTGGAGTGAACTTAAAATAAATGGAGGCTTAAGTGTTCCATTTAATGTTTTAAGGGGAGTGAGGCAAGGTTGTTCTTCATCAGGGATGCTTTATTCCTTGTTAAAATGCTAACATTGACAGGACAGAGGCCCTGAAAATCCTGGGTGTTAGGATCCCAGGTTGTAGAGTTGTTTTGGAGTGTGATTTATTGATTCTAGTTTTATTCTGTTTCTCATTGTGATTAGTTTTGTTTCTATTTTTCTTTAGTTCAGTCCTTTCTTAGTGATTCTAGTTTGCTCTTCTGTATTATTGTTAAGTATGTTTCCTATGTGTAGTTATGCTAGTTATGTGTTAGATTCATTTTTCCTAGTCCCTTGTACCACTTTCTTTCATTCTCTCTCTTTCTCCCCTCCAAACTGCAGTCAGTTAGCCCAGGGGTGAGCAATCCTGGTCCTCGAGGGCCGGTGTCCTGCAACTCTTAGATGTCTCCCTGGTAGTGATGGGCTACCCATCACTACCAGGGTAGTGTCGGTTTTCAAAATAAAAGCGTGATGAGCCGTACTGCTTCATGGCATGGGTTATTGAATTTGATCGCGCATCAAAGGAGTATTTGTCTTCAGCAGTGGCAGAAATAAAATAAACCTTTTATAGTTCATGTGTATTAACGATTTTGATGATGGCACTCATCAAAATGTAATGTTTGTTACCGGTTTTCTCAACTGTTGATATGGTATATTTTGTGACTTTATATTTGTGTGGTTTTTTTATTATGTAAAAACTGCATCGTTGCTGAAAAGTGCCACACAAATAAACTTGATTGACATGGAGCCAGCAAGAAGAAAACATTTGACATCTGGGAAGACTTTGAGATGATTGCTCACAAGATTCTTAAATAAAAAGAATTAACCCCTTCACCTCCAAAATCCACACCTTCCTGAAATTTCCAATATTTCTTTGTTCTGCAAAGATTTATCAGTCTTGAACAGCAGAAACAGACTTAAAGTTGTTGGAAGAGTAAAATTCTGGCCTGATGAGTCAAAATAAAGGGGATTGGAGAGTCAAAAGAGAATTTTTGAAGAATTATGTCTATCTGAGTGACAAGGCTGTCACAGTTTCAACAGCAGATGTCACTAGTGAGAAATGAATGAACCACCGAGTAATGAACCTTTGGGCAAAGCAATGGGCTGGGAAGCTTCACTGCTTCATGAGGCTTCATTTGCCCATCACTACTCCCTGGTCCAACACACATGAATCCAACAGCTGAATCACCTCCCAAGTGCAGTCAGGTTCTCCAGAGTCCTGTTAACAACCTCATTATTTGACTCAGGTGTGTTGAAGTAGAGACACACCTAAAAGTTGCAGGAGACCGGCCATGAAGGCCTGGAGTTGCCCACCCCTGAGTTAGCCAATCAGCCCAGGTTTGTTTTTTTCCAGCATTCATTCTCCCAGTACTTGCACACCTTTTAACCTCTCACCCCTCACTTTCTCTCGTTATCTCCCTGTCTATTCCCTAATGTAATTTTTAGATTCCTGTGATTTGCTCTGCTCTGGTTCCCTGTGACCCCTCATGACCCTACTAAGGGACAAGGGTGTAAAGAAAATGGATGGATGGTTCCCTGTGCTCTCCATGGCTGTTATTGTAAGATTTTATTTTTCATTAAAAACCACAAAATCTACTTGGTGCCTCCACCTGCTGCATTTTTTGTTGGTGAACCCACCAACAAACACTAAACATGACTCTGGGGATCTTAAGCAGCTGCTTTGTTAATTTTATGCCTTATGTCAGCTCTGAATGTGACTAGCATTGTTTTTAATGTATTCTGGCTTATTACTTAATTTACATGATGCCATCTTTCAATCGTTCTAGGGGGTTTATCAGCAAGTGACCAATCGGTAGTACTCGCAATTTGCTCTTAAGTACATGCTTCTTATCTTGAGGAACTGAACCTCCGACAACATTGCTGGGCTTCATCATTGCTAACGAATTGCAGTCATAGAGATTTTGAGGAAAATAACAGGAAATTCTCATCAAACGTTGTCAGAAGGAACATGCAATCCCCACACCTGTTATCCAGCTGTAAGAGCATGGAATAAAATGTATTACATTTGCAAAATCCAAGAGGAATCTGGAAAAATGCTAGAGGTGGATTAAGGCCTGCAGCTGACCTCAGGTCCAGCTGAATGAAACTGATCAACAAATACATGTTCATCTATTCGAACGTAACTGGTTGTAAATGCAACTGGGTCTATATTAATATTGGTATAATTAAACTAAATATGTTTCTTTAATGTATTTGTCTGTTTATACCTGACTGTTCCTGTGTTACCCTGTGTCTATCATTGGGGGTTTGTTCCTCATGCTCCACCTCACTTTCTTCTTTTTTTCCAGGCTCCTCCAGGACTGTTAGAATCACTTCTTCTTCCCTTTTGTTATTTGTTCTACTGTGAAGAGGCTAGTTTTATAATCCAGCACATGAAGTTGTTCCAATTTAGCATGTAACAGTGCCTTTAATACAGTTCAAATTGTAACTTTCTAGACTTTAATCAAAACTAATAAATATTAAGTGCAAAAATAGCTGTTCTGAAAAAGCATGCTTTAAATTAAATAATCATTAACAAACTTAAGATATTACCGATTTTTAGTCTTGGTTTAAGTATGTCCAAGTATGCTAAGATCTAATTTACTTTGAATATTTATTTTTCACAAGGGAAGAATACCAGTGTTTTACATAGAAATCTATTAAATAGACATCCCTACTGCTCTACACAGGGGCGTCCTGCTACTGAAACATCACCTCCTATCGCCCAGCCATTTCCTCACACGCCACCCAGAGGGAACTGTGGGATGCATTCAGAACTGCTAATAAGAACAGACACGGCATTTGATCATAGCCAAAAGGCCGGGAATCATCTGCCTGACTGCGTAAGTCATACCCGACTTACATTTAGACATTATTCAGAATAATGTCTAAATGAACTGCAATGAATCAGAACTGTAGCGCCTATAGGACTGCGGTCCACTGCTGTTATTTTTCTGTAAAAGAAGGAATGACCCTGGTTTGTGCTATAGACAATTCTACCTCATTTTTACAGATATGTGAAACGTCGCACGAACCTGCAATGACGATTATCCTGGTCGAGGCGCGCAGTGTTCGGCTGCAGCATAAGCTGCAAAAATCCTGCAGTCCGAGTCGGAGTACTGCCCGCTTATGGGACCTAGACACCGCATCATAGTTCAGCTCACCTTAAGCATTGGTCTAGTACAAAGTATGTTTTCAACATATATTTGGTAGGTGCTTAATTCCGAATGGAAGTGGCTCAGTGGGTGGAGAAGTAACAAGAGGAGATCAGAGGAGTGTATTCATCATAGTCACCCTGAACCGCTTTATGGAGCAGGTAGGTAACTGCAATGCTTGGAGCATTTTTTGGCACTATAGTGTTATGCCGAGAAACGCATGCCTGCCGAGAATTGCATGCCCTATCGCGGGAACGCGCATCGCTCTAAACTCTCTCATATTGATGACCGAAGAGGCATCCGTTTCTCGGCATAACACCAGCGCACCCCTGCGATTTGATGAATGAATCCCTCCCCGGCCCTCTCGCCGCCCACTAACAGTGAAATCTTGCACAGAGAAACTTGTGGAACTGGATAGTTTCTTTCTGTTTTGCATACTGAAGTTACCATTTTCTACCGAGGTGGCTGCTTCCTTGTTCCCTGCGCATTTACAGCGGTATGTTGCTTTTTATTTAATTTTTAGTATATTTTTTATTAAGTTTTTAATTATTTTATTAAGTTCCAGTTGTTTTCACAGGATTACAAACCTCAACCTGAAGAACCAGTTTTATGCTGTATTGGACCAACATGCCTCCCAGCTCCAGAGCTTATTTAGGAAGAAAGCTGCTTCCACTGGAAAAGTGAATGATGTTCTGTCTCAGCTGAGAACCCATGATGTCTAGGTTAGTGTTTGTTCTTGTTCTTGTTTTGAGCTTTATTAAGTTTTACCTATTTTTTATTTTACAAAATAAACCAATGAATGGAAGAAAATGTTCTTATGATTCAGGAACGCTGATATTCATGTATGACATGCTGTTCTTCACACCATTTCTCCCTATTTGCACAGACTCCTCCACATTCATCAAAACGTGGGATGAAAGTTTTCAGCAAATTTAACAATATAATTTATTAACCTTGT